ATTTGTTGGAGGCATCAACAATTGTAATGTTAGAGGCACTAATGAATACTGGATGGAAATGAAGTAAAAAGAAAATCATTTTCATCCTCGTTTCTCACAAAGAAATGGGTTTGATAAAAGCAGGGGCGACTCAATATAATTTAAGGCCTTAAGCGAAAATAAAAATAAAATGATCTTTTAATAGATTCTACCCATATGTTCATGTTAGTAATATGCTCAATATTTATTTTGTGATTTTTAAGCATAGTACTAAAAAAATTTCAATCTCTAATTCTATCATTAGCTAATTGACTATATACTTTCTAAAAGACATATTAAAAAATATAAATAAATAAAAATGATGACAACTCACAAACAAAATAAATAATTTTATGATAACAAAATTTAATAAATTTATAAACTAATTGAAGTTATAGAACAATAGAAACTGATTTCTAAGAATTTGATCCAATAATCCAAAAAAATCTTTAATAGAATAAAAGTTCATTCAAAGTCTTGTAAATTGTAGGAGTGGAGACGATGAAAACAAAAAAATAATAATAATTTATAATGAGAGGAGAAAAAATATGTGAGGAATAAGAAAAAAGGAGAAAAATAAAAGTTAATAGGTGTCTTATAAAAATATAGAAAGTTTCACAAGTCCTACCACAGTGAATAATATTTGTGATTGGTATAATGATAGCGAGAAGTAATATATATATATGTGTGTGTATAGTATATACACTCATGTAATAAGGATGAGAGAGAGAAAAAAAAGTCATATAAATATATAAATATTTTGGGCCTAATATTAAATTTCTTTATTGATTGAGGTTTAATAATAGAAGAAAATAAAATTTTTAGGTAGCTTATAATATATAAAGAAAAAATTTTGAGGGCGCTGAAAAAAAAAAAAGGGTAATAAATAATAGAAATCTTTTAGGTCCACTGTCAAATCTCTCTATTTTTTTATGTTTAATAATTAACATAATTATTTTAAGAAAGTTATAATATATAAAGAAATAAAAAAAATTATGAGACCTTCTAATTGGCTGGGCCTTAGGCAACTCACCTAAGGCTTCAGCCGCCCCTGGATAAAAGAGAGGGGTTTGATACAGCCTACGATTTCTCTCTCTAATCTCTATAATATATATAAAATACTTGGTTTACAATGAAATTGGAACGAATTGATGAAAATCCTTTTGTGGGTCACAAAAGAGATTCGATTTTCTTGGTGGAGGACAAATTAATGAAACCGTCCATATGTATATCATCGCCGCTAAATCAAATCGCTTGTGTGGTGGGGATAGCGGTGATGGTGGTGGTTGGTAGGGGTGGCGGCCAAAAATTTACATCTCTTGATTATCTACCCTCTCTCTCTTTTGGTTCTCTCATCAATGGATAGAGACTCTATGTGAGTTTCATTAAGTGAGTGATGTGGAAGTGGTTCGATGAGTTAGTGATGGGCTTTGAGTTATATACACGTGTCTATACATATATGTATAGTATATACTTTTAGGTGTGGTGGTGATGGGGGTTGTGGCCTGTAATGGTGGTGGGAGGAGGTGGATCGTTGGTGGAGAGAGGAGAGGGGGAAAGAGAGATGAGAGGCAAAATAGGAACAAAAGGGTAAGATCGAATTTTCAGATTTACTTTTTGCCAAAAAGTTATCAGAGGGGCTTATTTACACCTTTTTTAAATTTTATGGACTAGCATGCACATTTTAAAAAAAAATAGGGACTCGTTCTGCACAAATCCTATATATCAAGATTTTTTTTGCACTTAACCCTAATATTATAGGACAAGTGCAGAAAATATCTCAAAAGTATATTCCGAGTAGCACTTTTACTTCCTATTTGTAAAAGTGTGTAAACTAATTTTTTGACATTGTGCAAAATACCCCTCAATCAGAAATCTGACATAAATTAGTATTGTAATACCCGTTTTGTCATTTTACTCTTCCAAAAATGCCCAAGGGGTGTATATGCTACTAATCTCATAGTATATGAGTATTATGTGCACATTACCTTATATTTTATTTTTTTAAACTTTTTTCTTTATTTATATCACTAAACTTTTTCTTTCTTTCTTTCTTTCTTTTTTTTTCTTTTTCTTTTTCTTCTTCCTTTTTTTTTTTTTAGACTTTGGGAATTTGTCGAAGGATTTTATTTTTTTGAGATTTCAGTTTACTCATTTCTACTATTTTTTTTCTTTATTATTATTTTTTCCGTACCAACACTATTAAACCAAATAAAAAAAAAATAAAAAAAAAAATAAAAGAAAAAAATCCCAATATCAATGGGCACTAATTTTCAGAATTTGGAGCATATTTGTTTTCTTTAGTTTGCACTTTATTTTTTCGTTTTTTTTCTTTTCTATGTTTATCTTTACTTTTCTTTTATACTTTTATTTTTATTTTTATTTTTATCTTTACTTGTCCATTGCCCGCGTCCTGCAATAGTGTCCTTTTCGATCATTTTACAAAATTATTTATTTTTATATATTTTATAAAATGGTTCAGTAAGGGTAATTTAGTCAACTTAGGGTTTAAATTTGTCAGAGAGACCTATTTGCACCAAATTAAAACTTTGGAGTGTTTTTGCAAGTGAGGGGCGTCCTCTAATAGTGTCATTTTCAGTCATTTTACAAAATTATTTATTTTATAAAATGGTTCAGTAAGGATAATATAGTCAAGTTAGGGTTAAAATTTGTTAGAGAAACATATTTGTACCAAATTAAAATTTTAGGGATGTTTTTTGCACGTTAAGATTGTAATATGCATTACAAGCATACTTTATAAGTGTGTTTTGCACTTGACCATAATATTATAATTCATATCCATATTGCATCCTATGAAGATTACAAATATTCACATATAACTCAAATAGGATCCAAATAAAGTAAAAATATCTTGATTTGGGTCGGATCTCAAGTAAAATCTATTCCATTTAATAATAATTCAAAACCATTCCCAACCCGAATTTGTGACACACAAATCTTTCGATGAAGATTCGGGTCTAACCCCATTTTGAATTTAGATTCAAATTTAAGATCCAAACTTGTGAAAAAGGACTTCGGATTCGATCTCATGATCAAATTTGCTCAATTTTAAACCCTAATAGACTTCATCAAACACATAAAATTGTCTTAAGTGTCCATTTCTTACCAATTACCAATATGCCACCCCCAACCATATAATAGCTCCAAAGATACATTTTCAAAAGAATAATGTTTTAAGAACTGAATTCGACAGTTACCGAATATAATTTATGTGAATGTAGTGGTGTGTCTCATTACATGACGTAATGATGTCATTACTATTTTCAAAATTCTCCTAGTCAATTAAATTTAGAAGTTAGAGAGAGAAGTAAAATTAGAGGAAAGAGAGAAAATTTTGAATGTGTAATTAGCATAATCATGTGATCCATATCATGTAATAATTTCTCGAAAAATTTATGTAAATGGAAAGTTTCTTTGAAGGACACTGCTCATGTCTCTTTGTAGCTGTATATGAATAATGGACAACTTTATTTACAGAGGCATTTAGGGATGGATGGATGGCTTTTGGTTGGCATGCACAACTTTAACTTTTTGTTGACAAAAAAAGGTGCCACTAAAAAAAAAAAAAAAAAGAAGAGGTTTGTGCAGCAGAGCAAGTGATCACTAACTCACACCCCATCCTCATATTTTAGTTGTCACAGGACAGGTGTATGCTCATCAACACATACAAATGGCACATACAAATGGCACTCAGGGGTCTTGTCAGACCCCAATATATTTGTTAGTGCTGCCTTTATGGATCTTCCTTATCTGCCCATTTGTCCATTAGGTTTTTTTTATTCATCTTTATTGCCATTTAGCCCTACCTTAATTTGTCAACTACCAACTGCTAAAACATTTTTATGTGAGCAATTAAATGAGATTTTAAATGTACTGAAGACCTAATCCAACAAGTCTTCCTTAAATAGATAAATTAAGTAATTAAAATTATAAAAAATGAATTAAAATGGATAGCACTACATGTTGTAGGGAATAATGGAAAGTACCTCTTCCCCTTCACAGCATGAAAAAATTATGATGAGTAATGTTAGAAGGATAAATATAAATTTATTGATCAATATCTATTACCAACTTATAGTAATGTTTAATTGAAATAATTTAAAACAAGAGAGATTTTATCTTATTAATTATTGTATAAATTTTTTTATTGAACCCTATTTATTAGAGTCGTTAAAAATTTATTGAGCATATTGTAATATTACTTATGTTAAAATAATCAATTAATTTTTATGCTAACCAGAATCAGTGTTTGATAAAGACTTTCATTTAGTAGTGTTTGATAAAGACTTTCATTCGAGAAGATTAGAGTCTTTTATTTGATTTTTATCCTAATAAATAATGCTCACTTAATCCTAAAATAAGTGTCCACTTTTTTATTTTTATCCATCCAAAATATGTGTTTCATTTAAAAAGTCGATATTGTATTTTTTATAATACTATCAATTTAACCTTCATACATGCACTCATCACCATTGTGAATCATTAAGGATAAATTTGACAAAAAGTACTTCCTTTGTCCCATAAAAAAGTATCATATTTAGAGAACTGAATATGATACTTTTTTATGGGACAGAGTGAGTAATAAAAATTATTCTTTTAAAAACGTTAGACCCCCAAAGAAAATTCCATAATACTGTAATAACTGATTGAGACTTTTATAATAATAATAATTATATTATTATTATTATTATTATTATTCATGAGAACCACCTTTCATTAAGATAGCTTGTTGTCTAATTATTTTAAAATTGTAGAAAATAATGTAAAGTGTCATTCTCAATTTGAGTGGAGAGGGATGTCCTACAATGGAATTTCATCTCCTTTTCAAAAGCTACAAAAAACCATGACATGCTTTTTTTCGCAATGGGGGTAGTGAAATTGATGTTGACCCATAGTGTTTCTGCTTCAACCTCACCACAAGACTGAAAAGGAATCCTCTCTCTCTCTCTCTCTGGTAAGAAAAACCATTCTCACCCATAATTCAATTTGCTTTCTGTTAACTTCTCCATTACATGAATATGAATATTTTTGCAACATTTTCTCGAATGGGTATTTCTTCTTTTTGTTTCTTTTTCTCAACCTGTAAAGTTTGAAATTTTTTTAACTTTTCTTTTTTATTTCTTGGTTTGTAGTAGGAAAATAATGTGATTATATGATCTGGGTTGAATTTAGTTTATGCTCTATACATTTCTGTGCCTTTATTTCTTGTATAGTTTGTTAGGTTTGTATATTTCCATGTGAATGCTCACACACACACACATACCATAGTTGTTCTCCAATGCTAATGTTTTATGCTGATTCTATTTGTTGGGTTTCACAATTCAAAGTTGTTATTGACTTATAGTCTCAAGTACAGGATGGAGATACTTTTGAATTTTTATTTTTTTTTAATTTTTTTTTTCCTGGCAGGATTTTCTCTCTGTTAAATTCATATCTGGAAGTTTAATTCTGTTCTAAGAATGGAGTTCTGGAGTCATGCTTCAGAAGGAAATAATCTTTTGATTTCTAACAATATAGATTCATCAGCTCTTGCAAGAACTCGAAATATATCAACAGAATGGGATTTCAAATCCCCATCTAATTTTGATATGTTAGTCCCAAATAGAGAAGCAGTTGATTGTATGGAATTTACGGAATTGGGTGTTTCTGATATGATGAGAAAATCACTTATTAGTAACCCAAATTTGGGAATTTTAGCTGGTGAGAGTGGTAATGATTCTAGGAAAAGAGTTCCTTCTACCTCTTGTGTAATTACTCCGAGTTCCTTTCGTGGGGAATTGGAGCCAGGGTCAAGGTTTTCCGGTTCTGTCGTGGAATCCGATAGTAAAAAATTGTCTCTAATTGATTTGAAGTTGGGGAAGTTAGCTGAGTGGAGGGAAGCCAAGAATAGTAGATTGTTGGATTTATCTTCGAAGGGAGCTTCCTCCGCAGCAAAGAGAGCCCGGACATTAAATTCTTACTCTCAGGCTCCGTTTTGCCAAGTTTATGGTTGCAACAAAGATCTAAGCTCCTCAAAAGACTACCACAAAAGGCATAAAGTTTGCGACGTTCACTCAAAGACTGCTATAGTTGTTGTTAATGGCATTGAGCAAAGGTTTTGTCAGCAGTGTAGCAGGTATGAGAAAATATACTGTTTGACCTTGGCTTCATTTCGCTTACCTTAAAATGTCATAGTTTTCTCATTGCATGATATATCTAAACCAGATTCCCTTCTTGTTGAATTTGGTATGAAATCAATCCTAACTTTCATTTTGAAAATTTTGAAAATGAGAACGAAAGTAGTGTTAATCTGCAGCTTCAAGGGGTTGTTGCCCTCCATGTGTACTGCACTTGTATAAAAACCCAAAAAATAAAAATAAAAAAATAAAAAGAGACAATTTTATAACTTACAAACCTAATAAAAGAGTATTCTTAAACAACCCCATCAAGAGGACCACATAAACAGATATTACATCAAACAATTTTAAATTGAGAGGAGAGAAATTTGCTTCTGCAGATTCTCTCTCGCTACGTATTTATGTTTGTATACTCTCCATAAATCACTAAGGTTCATGTTCCATACTAGTAAACTCGTACTATTTGCAATTTCCACCGTTGTCCTCCTAGAGATACCAGTAACTAATCTCTACAATATTCTAATTTTTTTTTTTAATAAAAGGTGTGATTTATTTGTAATTTTAATTTAACACCCAATATTGCTACTGATGTAATTGCAACAACTGTCCCTGTTGATTTCTATCCCTCACGAACTATTATTCAATCTTACCCTATTGATGGAGCAATTAAGCTCAAATAAGCTGTTGAACTGTCATTTTTTAGTATGATTGATAGTAGTAACTTATCATATGCAGGTTCCATTTGCTGGCTGAATTTGATGATAGTAAACGCAGTTGTCGCAGACGGCTTGCAGGCCACAATGAGCGCCGAAGAAAACTCCAACTTGATACTCACTCTGTCAAATCACAGAAGTTGCTTGAGTACTATCAAGGTACTAATTTTTATTGCTATCTATTATGCTTTATACTCGGAAAATTCCTTAGTTCTTAGCAACCCCTCCCCACTTCAGAGTACATATTTTATCTCATATTTAATCGCCCAAGCTTTGTGTCGACTCCAATATCAATTGCACAACTTTAAATGTATGGATGGAACTTAATCAGAAGATCAATGTTAACTTTCATGATTTCACTTATAAAAAGGAAAAATAAATAAATAAATAAAAATACTAGCAACTTTATGCTTTCCAGTCAATTATCCTAAAGTTTTCGGCCTTTGACCAGTTCATCTTTCGCGATTATTTTAAGAAGGGAAGTTTATCTAAAGATACTATTTTAAGCCTTACTCCACTTCCCAGTTAAGGCAAAGTTTGAGCAACCACATAACCTATCCATCAGATTCGCTGTATTGCTCTATATAAATATTGATTGTCTTTTTCCTTTCTGTTAGCTGTATTCATTGATTCTTTAGAAAAAAAACATTTCAAAATTTATGAAAAGTAGTCATCTATACCCACTTCGTTCCACTTGCGACATTATATTATTTTAATTACCTCCTCTCTTTCAAATGGAGTTCCTCTAACATTCTGTATTCAAGGAGCAGTTAAAATTTCAGGTAAACCAAAAAAAAAAAAAAAACCGTTCTGCACTAACGGCCCCATTGAGAGATTGAAGCTAGAATGTTCTGTACTTAGTCTGGTTCGATTTAAATTTTATATTTACACCTTAAAATTTTGAAGCTAGAATGGCATGAATATTGAACTATATTCATAGGCCCAAAAACACTAAAATTATTGTGGAGCATTAGAGGATTAGAAGCAGCTTAGGGGATGAATGACCTCTAATTAACTTCAACATATTCACTGTTAAAATAATTCCTGACTGTTTGCTTTTTCCTTTTGGTGGGAACAAAAAATTTGACATTTTCGTAACAGAAAATTTACTGTTTGGCAGGTGCAAGGTTTCTGGGGACTTCTTTGCCAAAACAAACATCCTTTGTTTTTTCAGACACACTTCGTGGTGGTTTCTGTAGTCCGGAAGGATATAACCAAGGTAATCGAGGCAGGCATGTCAAATTCGAAGTGGAGACAATTTATAGTCCTCAACTAATGATGCCTGTTACGGAAGGCCAATCACATATTAAATCGTTTCTCAATCTGCATCAAATGGACAAGCGATATCCTTCCACAACATTTTCATCAGGGACTGACTACACTATTGTTGATAAGGCATCAACTGTTCAAGAATTATCTGGGATCTCGAACTCCAGTTGTGCTCTCTCTCTTCTGTCAGCTCAATCGCAAAATTTGTCGAGCCATTCGGCTGGAGTTCCCATGGCCCAAGGTGCCCATGATCACCGTGTTGTAGATCAAAGTTCTGAGAAACCTTTAGGAGTAAGCATTTTAGAAAACCAGCTAGAGCCCTCGATGATTTCTCGTGCTGGTACTGCTGTTGACTTTGAAGTCTGCAAAGATGAGATTTTCCAAATGCCGGATTCTATATACTCAAAATATTGTCTTTCTCCGGAAAATGAGCCCACCGTTGATTTGCTTCAATTGTCATCACATCTTCAAAAAATGGAGCAGCGGAGGAATTCTGTGCAAATGAAGCAGGAAAATGATGTCTTCTACTGTTATCCAACCATTTAATGGGGTATGAAATCATCCATTTGTTTACTGTGTCGCCTTATCTTTTGTGTCATTATATGAGAGTGGGATTAACTTTCTGGCTAAAATATTTGTATACCCCTATCACCTTGAATTTAGGCTGGAGAGGCAAGGGCCTCTGTTAGTGGCCATTGCAATCGAAGCAAAATGCTCGTAAAAAATTAAATTTCAATTAATATGGCATCACTGTAGATTCAAAAAGTGCGAAAAAGGAACAATTGTGTTGCGAAACTTTTAGGATGACAGTAGATTTTTTTTTTTTTTTTGTTCCCCCGGAAATTGACAGTATGAATTGATGACTACAACAAAATATAGAGACATTTTCACTGTATAACAGATTGTTCTTGTGTGTTTGTGAACTCAAATGTTGTGATTAATTTGCTGCAGGTTAAGGGGACGCTTTCACGCTCCATCAGCAATTCTTAACTAACTCCATTGGTGCATATAATCGGAAGATGGAGAAAACTTCTGCTACGGATTACTACGTAATACTTAGCCTCGTGACATTCCATTTTCGAAGAAAGAGATCAAGAAGCTATGAGGTTTTGGTAAGATAGTGATCCAAGTTCAATACTATATGTTGTTTCAGTTTGTTTTCACTTTGTGTTCATTATTTACCTAGCTCAAGTAGTAGCTACCATAAAAGATGGTAGTACAAGAACAGCTTGACACCAACATAACATTTTGTAATAAATCATCTTAAAACTTTGACTACTTTAAAGCTTTTGTTGGATTGGTGATTGTTGAGATGGTTATTTCTCTCTAAATCTTGTCAAATTATTGTATGGAAATTCAAACTAAAACTGAAATTTGAGTGTTTATATTTATATATTATTTTTATGTTGGCAAACTTTGGAGATGGGGTACTCGAATATTCTCTCCAGTAGAACAGTAAGACTCATTCCAACCTTTGTGAGGTGCATCCCGAACTGAACAGAACATGATATACGGTTTATAGGAGGGGATTTTCTTCCGACTCAAACATAGGCACACTATCAAAGAGTTGACGCTCTACCAACTAGGACATTGAGTAATGCCCAAATTTCAGCTCTCTCTCAAAACGCTTTCTTTTATGCTTGCTATTCCAAAAGTGGGAAGAGAGAAGCCATTTTTGGCTTATCATATGCAGAGCATTATTAAATAGAATATTCTGGCATAACTTTGTAAAATATGACGTCTTTTGAGTTTATCATATGCCAAGTCTAGGTTGTCCCAAGCCTGTTAATTTTAATATTTATATTAATGACAATCATTAACTACTTTGATAATAATAATATAATATCTGAAGCGTGAATTAGCAGCATGTTCAAGCTCTTTTGGTGCACTTTAAACATGTGCCTTGAGTTATCTTTTTCTTCACTCTCTTTTTTTTCCACTTTTTGTTAGAAAAGCAGAGCCACAAGTCTAAACCAACAGGATGCAACACTACATTATGGTGTGACTATTGGAAAGCAAACAGGCAATAGTAAAATTATTATTATTATTATTATTTTGGTAAAGTATAAAATAAAATAAAATAAAATAAACATATGTTATGCAAAACATGTGTTACATATCAAATGCGCAAATACTCCACTGGTGTTAAAATAAAAAAATAATAATAATAAATAAAAAATAAAAATCATATAATTGAGTAAATGTGGACATTTTGACAATTTAAAGACTGAAATACTAAAAATGCCATTAAGACAAAATAAAAATAAAAGAAAAATATTGATTATTATGGGTATTTTAGGGTTTTAATTAAAATTAAAAAAAAAAATTGGTCAAAATTGACGGTCAAAGGGCAATTTGGACATATATGAATATAACGAATGTGCAAATATTCCACTGGTGTTAAAAAATAAATAAATAAAATAAAATAAAATAAAATAAAATAAAAACAACCTATATTTTCCAAATTGAGTAAACAAGGACATTTTGTCAATTTAAAAACTAAAATACCTAAAATGCTCTTAAGAGAAAATAAAAAATTTTAAAACTGATTTCATAAAACACTAATTATTATGGATATTTTGGGATTTTAATAAATAAAAAAAACAAAATTTTGGTCAAAATTGACTGTCAATGAGTAATGATTTTAATAAAAAAACAAAATTTTGGTCAAAATTGACTGTCAATGAGTAATTTACACATATTTTTAATGTTAAGGATTTATATGCAGGTATTAAACTATGGACAATACTTCAAATTGACTGTCAATGAGTAATTTACACATATTTTTAATGTTAAGGATTTAAAAAAAGTATTGTCCATAGTTTAATACCTGCATATGAATCCTTAACATTAAAAATATGTGTAAATTACTCATTGACAGTCAATTTTGACCAAATTTTTGTTTTTTTATTAAAATCCCAAAAATATCCATAATAATTAGTGTTTTATGAAATCAGTGCTGAGTAAGAAGTACATGCTTACACATGATATGGCGCAAAAATAATGTAACAAGTGACCCTAAAATATAAAATAATAAAAATTAAAAAATTTGCATGTTTACCGGGTCAACCCAAATGGATGCAAATCAAATCCTAATTTACTCTCCCTCTCTTTCTCTCTCTCAAACTATTCCACTGAAACCCTAATCTGCTAATAATGTAAGTTTTGACTTTTATCTTTCATGGTTTAATGTATAATCCTTATATATACTTATCAATTATTTTTATCTAAAGTACACTGAATTACATAAAATCTGATTCACATGGTTTGATAGATGATTTGCTGATTGCATGATAGATTGTTATTGTTTATTTCTAATCTTATTTTTCTTTTAGCGGGAAACAAATATTTATGTACCATTACATATATAGTTATTCTTTCTATTTATCATCCAGAGCTTTGTTTGTATCTTATAATGTTATTTAATTTAAGAATTTTAGCTTAAAATATTTTTTTCGACAAGATCCCCTTCTCATTCACTCCCTAGATAAAAGGAGTGGCGTGAGACAAGGGAAGATGGTTAGATTTGGATCATATTGGGTTTAATTCGGATAGCCTATCAAATCTTTTAATTTTTATTATTTTATATTATAGAGACACATGTTCTATTATTTTTGTGCCACATCAGGATAAGTATGAATTTCATACTCACCGCTAAGTAGGTAAGTATTATCCTTAAACTATAAGGTTGATTACTCTCCATGCCTACTTTTGAAATAGGTCCACCAACTCTAGATCAACAATGCAATTAGCAAAACTTATTCTAAGCGTAACCAATTTGAGGGGCTTCACTCCAAACCAAATCATTCACTCATGTATGAACACCAACATTTGATTTATATACAAGTGGTTGGCAAAGGAGCTAGCTTCTTGTATTCAAGAAAGGTCTATCTTGGATAACAATTTTTGCTGGTCAAGAAACTGACTAAATTTTGGTTACCTTATCCAAGTTTAAATAATTAATTTATTTTATTTTAAATCATAATGGCTTGGCCTAATTGAAAAAAATAATTACAAACAATTCTTTAGGAGTCACGTCGGTAGACATAGTCTAAATTTTATCACCTAGGTGCGAACATTTTTTTAGAAACTATGCTCGCAAATATACTTCAAATTTTACTCGATTTTTGTGGAGGATACCTTACACAGGTCTCGTGGATTAGTTGGAGCGAAACCCTGGACATCTCGGTTATCGAAGAAAAAAAAAAAAAAAAGGTAGAGTAATAAGCCAATTTCAGTACCGATGAGCATTAACTTAGATGGTATGATTACTTTTCTCCAAATGAGACGTTGAGTTTTTTGTCATGTATCTGTTTGAACTTTCACGAAGAAATAATAATAATAAAATAAAAAAAATTGCAAATTTTAGAATTTTTTTTTTTAACATAATTATACTTATATTTATATATTTATGCCCTCCTTTTAAAGAATTGAAAAATCTTATTGGATTATTACAATTTTTACATCAATGCATGTACTATTCTCGTGGTATTGATGATGTGCAATATTTCTTTCTGGCAAATTAAGCTTACTTTTCAGGATCACGGACAACTGAGATCCACAAGTTTTAAGGAAAAATAGAAGTCAAAGCCAATAAATAAAAATTAGCTTGAAACAAAATATTACATTGAAACAAAATAGTAGTAAGTACATGAAAATATTACATTGAAACAAAAGAAAATGCACCACTAATATGGCTTCCACTTCCCCAATTTCCACCCAAAAATTGAAAATCAATAAATAAAAATAATAATAGAAAAAAAAATGTGTTAATTTTTTCTTTGTTTTATATAAACAAAAATTGAAAATCAATAAATAAAAATAATAATAGAAAAAAAAATGTGTTAATTTTTTCTTTGTTTTATATAAACAAATATGTGACCATGCCGAAAACGACAGTATGAACATTCATTCAAGTGTCAACCTCTATGGTTAAAAAATATGTACAAATATAATAACAAGATAGGATAGTTATACCATATACTACATATAACATGTTCTTTTTAATATTCAAATAATGTTATCTTCTAACTTATGTAATTTAAGTATAATTTATAAATTAATTAAAGTCATATAATTGTCCCATTTGATATATATATATATGTAAATAAAAATTAGTATTTATATTAGCTATGTCTACTTTTTAAAAAATTAACTTGTCAACATGGATATGTTGTATTGTGTCCATGTATCGTGTGTTCTCCATAGAATCCAACAATTGCCCATGTTCACTGCAAATTGAAACTCGGGACTTCAGAAATGGCTTGAGGCACTTGAGTCTGTGTTGATACTTCTACGAACTATTCCAACTTTTATATATATATATATTTACGCAAGCTCCTAAAACCTAACTAGAAAATCTAATTGATTTGGGGATGGATTCTTAAATTCCAAAATTTGTATCAATAGATAAAAGGAAAAATATATGTAGTAGTAAAATGTTGATTCTATTGATGAAGTAGTGTGTGTGTGTGTGTATATATATATATATATACACGCTAGCTCCTAAAACCTAACTAGAAAATCTAAGTGATTTGGGGATGGATTCTTAAATTCCAAAATTTGTATCAATAGATAAAAGGAAAAATATATGTAGTAGTAAAATGTTGATTCTATTGATGAAGTAGTGTGTGTGTGTGTGTATATATATATATATATATATATACACGCTAGCTCCTAAAACCTAACTAGAAAATCTAAGTGATTTGGGGATACATTCTTAAATTCCAAAATTTGTATCAATAGATAAAAGGAAAAATATATGTAGTAGTAAAATGTTGATTCTATTGATGAAGTAGTGTGTATATATATATATATACACGCTAGCTCCTAAAACCTAACTAGAAAATCTAATTGATTTGGGGATGGATTCTTAAATTCCAAAATTTGTATCAATAGATAAAAGGAAAAATATATGTAGTAGCAAAATGTTGATTCTATTGATGAAGTAGTCCAGTGTTATTGAATGCCATACTTCTTGAATTATAAATGTAGCAAATTAAACAATGAATATAATTATATGATGTTCACATTTAAAATGATTTGATTTTGTGCCACCCTCTATATTACAATAAGGAGGTTGGTGGGCATATCTTTAGTGGTGACTGGGTGGAGATCATCCATAACAACTCCATGAACCTCTTAAATTTTGACAATGTCCAACAATCTCAATAAATTCTAAAAATGGACTAAATAATATAGATATTGGATGATCTAGATTAAGTTCTACTTAAACTGATTCCATTGTTTGATGGGAGTTCTACCCAATCCTCAACATCCACCATTGCTCTGTAGTAGAACCCCACTAAGACAGTCAAACAAACATCGCAATTAAAGTGCCAAGTTGGACAAACAACAACAGTTCGCGGCACCTAAGAGCATCTCGGATGGCTCTCCCATTTTACCACATCAACATTTTAAGTAGTGACGTCAATATTTTCTATAGCCACATCGATGTTTTAAAACATTCAAATTTTAACTATAGAATGTACTCCAATAGTGCATTTTTATTTTTTAAAAATATTAATATTTTTTAAATTTTTAATAAATTTTATTTTTTTAACTTTTTCCTAACGGCTATATCGGATGTACTAAAGATGGGATGGGTTGAATATGAGGTGAATAATAATAAGAGTTGATGTATTTATAGAGAAAAAATAAAATATTTTTTTTAAAATAAATAAATATATATATAATTATTTTTTTAAAAAAATTCAAAAAATATATTTTTGTACCAATATAGCCGTTAAGACATTGTTTGGGTCAATCAAATAGTGCCTAAAACGGTTATAATGTCAGTAGAAATATTTTAAAAAGTAAAGTTTAAAAAAAAAAAAAAAAAACATTTTTCTCTATTTATTTATTTTTAACTTTTTTTTGCCCAAAAAACCCATTAAGGCAGTATTTGTGTCAGCCAAATAATGCCTTGACAGCTCTTTGATAACAAACATGCCCTTCTGAACACTGTTCTGGGCTAAAACACTATTATGTGCCAAAATTAAAAATATAAAATAAAACAAAAGCTGGCCCGCATGACTGGCCCACAGCTCGCCAAGAGAGTCCGTGAATACCACGACCAATTAGATGGGGCTCAATTTTTGAAAATGCTATTGGAACAGTCCAATAGCGAAAAAGGGCCCAGAATCTCTAAATTCTGGGCCGCTGGAGTTACTCTAAGAAAACCACGTCACCATTTGTGTGCACATTTCCCAATTTTATGCCAAACATCTTCAAATTTGTATTCTTACTCTATGTATTTCAGCGGGTCATTTTTTAAAAAAATTAAAATAAAAATGACTAGTAAATACTATAAATAAAATTAAAACATTATTTTACATATTAAGTTGTGATCATCTGAAATTACTTTCTGATCAAAAAAGAATTTTCTTTCTTTCTTTCTTTCTTTTTTTCCTTCTTCATTGTTTGTTGTGACTAGTGAGTATTTACTACAGTAAATTTTTCTTTCAATAAGAACAAAAGTTTTATTGCTTCAAAAAATCAATGTGAATAATTTGTTGTGGATTACGACTGACATTATGAATACATCTGGGCAACTTAATATCATTTTCCAAATTTATCAACAAGAATTTACAGGACCATAACAGAATCAATTCAAGTACTCATCAAGGTATCATATTTGGCACTTTTTTTTCACCAAAATTTTCCGAATCATCGAAGATGGAAATTGTTCAGCTTGATGGTTGGAGTGTGTAGACTCATTTGACTGCCAATGAGGTCAAAGTTGATTATACCATGGGTTAGTTACACCTATGATACTCTTAACCTACTTGATATAATAAATATAGGAATAAAAAAGAACCCTCTCAATTTCATCTCACTGTCATTGATGTTTTGAATAAAATCTTAAAAACTCTTACCGCTTCAACTCTTTCAAGTAGTGCTGTATACTTGTGTATACAACATGCTGCAAAATCAATATTGAGCTGCCTTGTATGAAAATTTTGGGACTACTGAGACCAACAAAGTTGCTCATATACTTCCGTTTTGCTGCTTACTAAGATATGCTTCTAACTGCCCTGTTGCTGCCAAGATAAGACCTACAATGTAATACGTAAATGTTAAAGTACAGATATCATGAAGAGAGGATGAAATCAATTAAATCCATACCTAACAGTGTCATCAAAGGCTCAAGGCGCGCTAAGGCGCTAGAGGTCCTTTGGAACCTAGGCGCAAGGTGAGGCGCACAATTGAAAAATTAAATTTCTATTAAAGCATATTCAGATTCCATATTAAAGGCACAAATGTTGTCAGAGGTGCAACAGGCGCAAGTGTTGCGCCTGTATGAGCTTGGAGCCTAGGCGCGCGCCTTTAACAACACTGCTTGCTTAGTATGCAGACCTTGCATGAAGGAGGAAAAAAGTTCACAATACAATCAGTGACAGTTTTCAAGGAATAGATACCCCAAGTAGTTGGGAAAAGGCTATGTTTGTTGCTTTATTAGTTTTCAAGGAATAGATACAGAACTGATGGAAATTCACGACGTATTATCCTAACAACTGTATGATTAGCTACACATCTTTTTCCGCCAAACTTCTCTTAAATCAAAGACCATCAAGGTTCAATCTTTGGAAAATGTGGCGCTGTATTATTGTACTTTCTTTTTTCAAAATATTTCCTGAAGGCTTTTTTTTTATTGTTTTATAAAATCCCAAATACCTAATCTCATGTCCATCTATAGAAACTTACTACTTAAAGAAAGAACACAGAAATATTGTAGTACCTCCAATCGTAATATACCTTTCACAGAAAATAAATGGAACTGGGTGATAATAGTTAATTAATTAGATAAACTATAAACTAATTACAAAGTACCTAAAAACAAAGCTGAAGGCCTCCCAGGCCGTGACTTGAATTCTGGATGAAACTGCACTCCCACGTAGAATGGATGGCATGGAAGTTCTAAGATCTGCAGAAATGAAGGAAAGGAAAAAAGACAACATTGAAATTCATTAATGCTTTTTTTCCTGGTAAAATAAAATTCAATAATGTTTATATCCAAAAATTAAATGTTCCTCCTTAGCGAATAAACTAGCAACAGGCAGGGAGCAGCCCGAAAAACATGAACACGTGTCAAAAAATTAAGTTGTTTACACAACAATCTTCAAGGTTATGTGTAACCCAGGTCCAGAAAACCAACCTCCATACGTTTTCCACTTTCATCCTTCCCAACAAATTTTAAGCCAGCTTCTTCTAAAATGCCAATCACCTCTGGGTTCACCTGCATCATACATGGCATGATAAGAGTATGTCCGTCAAATAATTCTATTTTATTAATTAATTGTCATCACTAACCTCATATCTATGACGGTGTCGTTCTTCCACATACTCTGGATTATGGTACCTACCAATTAACAAAGTATAGAATCAGGCATGCACAACAGAAAGCTAACACTAAAATATTCTTAAATGAAAAAATCAAAGGGATGGTCCATTGAGATCAGTTCAATCTTAAAGCCTGATATGACTCATTAGTTAATAAAAAGCCAAAAAAAAAAAAAAAAAAAAGGAGCCAAAGGCCTGTAGAGTGCAGTAATTTCAGTTTCCATTAATGTATTTCCACGAAGTTTGAATTCAATGATCCTCCAACTAAAGCTAAACCGGAAGCAAAAATTAGCTCATCAAATTGTCATTAAGGATGATCCAGCAGCAGCAACAGTAGATTCACATAGCCGGATGCTTCATATCATTTACCATCAAAACATCCCTAGACCTTCATGTTTTTCCTATACCTCCATCACAAATGAGTAACTAAAAGGTCAAATTCACCAGTGCTATAATTATTGTGGCACCAATGAACTTAGCCATGTAGTGATCAAAATGGATATAAGATAATCCACCCGGGGGACCACATACTTGGCAATTGGCAAAAGTACCCACTGAACAGATAAAAAACAGTGAACGCATAGTTTACAATAAAAGTGATTTTATATATGAAACGAAGGTGTTAGATTTCCATGCATTCTTGATGTCGAAATGGGGTAATAGATTTTGAGATCTATATGGAGTAATAGATCTATCTCTTACAGCTTTGCAGTGATACAATCTGGAGTCTGGAACAGTGTTCTTCGACAACCAAGTCTCATCGTGTTTCCCATGTGTGTTCTCGAACCCTGCATGTTTATATATGAATGATGATATATACTGATTGGATGTATTGGAAGTTCTATTCAAAAAATATAGCTCTATAGAATTTCATAATGAAAAATGTAAGTACCTCTGGCATGAAAATTACAACGGGATTTGGTGTCTGCTCATCAAACTCTGAACTGTTTGCCCTTTCCACACCCAAAACCTAAAGCACGTATTTGAAATGGGACCTATATATTGTCTGACAGATAATAGAAGAAGATACATGAATAGAAAGTCACTTACAGTTCTAGCGAACTCAATCACAGAAATCTGCATGCCCAGGCAAATCCCGAGATAAGGAACTTTATTCTCTCTTGCATATTTTGCAGCCAATATCATTCCTCTCACACCACGGTCTCCAAATCCACCAGGAACCAAAACGCATGCTGCATTCTGTATATATGGGCCTCATTAAAAGCAAATCGAATGTTAAATTTTGGTAATAACACCAGATTTGTCGTGAAACAGTGTTAAAGAACATTTTCCAGTAGCTGTACGCTACCACGAAACAAATTGTATTGTCCTGATCCCTCACTTACAAGGTACATATGCTGAATAAGAGTAAGAAGAGCTTTGAACAAAGACTTAAAACAATTGACCACTGTCGAAGGATTCATATATTTAAGTTACACCCTCTCTACCAGCTTAAGCTTTTGGAGTAGATGGTTGTTTCGATGGTATTAAAGCCAAAGGTCTCAAGTTCAAACCTCACCGTCACCTTGATAAAAAATTGAAAAACATGTGTTGGACCAAAAGAAGGTCACACATGAAGGGGCGTGTTGAAGGATTTATATATTTAACTTACACCCTCTCTAACAGCTTAAGCTTTTAGAGTATATGGTTGTTAACAACCACCAGAAAGCAAAAAGCAAAAAGCAAAAGGCAAATAACTAAATAGATAGATCAATAGAGAGAGAGGTTCCTAGCACTGAAATCTTATGTTGTCGAAAGCAACATAAGTAGTGATAAGTAACTGATGAACTTACTCAAATTGACTCCAACTCAAGTTACTCAACAGTTGTACCCACTGTTTGGAATCAGCAATAGCAACACTCCATTATTACATATACTGTATATTTATAAAGCTACGCGACACAAGAACCCCCATTTAACGTAAAATTTAACTCAGAAAACAACTTTTGCAATGTTTCAAAACCAGACCTTTAAACTGAGACATAAGACTTGGTGCTGTTTGATAACTAAATTCAGCACTTAATTCTAAACAAATTAAGCGCTTAACCAATTAAGTATATTTGATAATACAATTTGAATATTACTGAAAACGGTAAGCGCCACTTAAAATGGGGTAAAATTTTAAGTGACAGTGACGTCACTTATCACTCAATGCTGAATGCTGAAAATTCAAAAAGATATCAACTATATATTTATTCAAAAAGATATCACTTACAAACTTCAGCACTTAAAATTCAGCTCTTAAAATTTTCAACTTAATTTTCAGTTTTATCAAACAGCACCTTAGCAATTCAACAGTCTAGCCCAACTTTTCAGTGACACAATAAAATAATTATGAATAAATTTTGTAGCACCGAAAATCACATGAGGTCAAAGAAAAATAAAGTTGTGTAAAATAATTAGCAAAAGTATTCAAATGAACTCCAACTCAACAATGATTTAACCCACTGTCTGTAATTAGCAAAACTGAAACTTCCCATTACGTAACCATATATTTATAAAGCTACTTGTGCACAATAGTAGAACCTTATACCGTTATACGTAAACCATAAGTTAAAAAGATAAAGACAGACTCGGATTTTCTTATACTAAAAGAATAATCTAACCCCATATCTAGCATTACAACGAAAAATTTGAAAAAATCTTATAAGGCATTTGTCCTCCTCTGAATTCCTTGTTCCGTTTTGGTCTCTTGAGGGCGCCTTGGTTTCAACCCCAACCACCTCTGGAACTTCTACCATCGTATGTATAAGACCTCCATAAGTCATGAGAATTCATGTGGGCATTTTAACAGTCAGTCTGGTCAAGTAAAACTTGGTTTCATGCATGTTATGAACTCTGTCATAAAGCTTATTAACAAAGAAAGAAAGATCTGTTGTCTGCAGGGAGCCAGAAGGCAAAGAATGATGGGGAACAGACAAAAGGAAAATCCGAAGTCAAGCTTACCCTTAACGTTTCCCATGCAGCAGCGTGAGCTTCTGGAGTCTGCACGAGGAACACGATTTTTTAAATACGACAATCATCACCGAAACAAATAATAAATATATCCAAGAATGCAACCAGTAAGGGATCAATACCAATTTTGCACTATCATCTTCAAGGTCCGAAGCAGCAATCCAGTCAACTGATGGCTTCAATGAGCACGCAACGCAGGCATGCAGAAGAGCCTACATGTAAAATGAAGAATAATAATGACAGTAACTGGCAGTACAATAGTAATATTTTCAGTAACCAGACCATCGATAATGGGTTTGGAACCAAAAATCCATTCTAATTTTCGAAGGTTCGGTAGGCAAATATTTTTCAGAATAAAAAGTTAGAAATATAATTTATGAGATTGATTTTAAAATGCTATTTCCATGTGCATGATGCGCCATTGTTTCATGTTTGGATGATCCACAATACAATTAATAAGGAAAGCATAAATGAGAATATCCGTATTAAACCAATCAAAACTAAAAATTATAAACCATTCACATAATCTCTTGCATAATTTTGTCTGTCAAATCTGTAATATCCTACACAGATTATTAGGCCTATGTTTCAAAATGCAATTACATAAGCATGGTTCATGGCATATCCTAATCCTTAGTAGATTTATTTATGAAAAGATAATGATTTAGGAATTTAGTTATAAATTAGTATTTTTCTTGCAAACTCTACATAAGATATGTACTCATGACTTGTTTAAACTGAGAATAAGTTGAAGTAAAAGTATTTTCTCACCTTCACAACAGACAAATAAGAATCTGTAAGGCCAACATACTTCCCAACCATTGCAATCCTCACCTGCATAAAGCAGCATTTTCTTACTTAACTAAGCTAAAGATATATTGCAAAGAAAAGCATGAAATTTCAATGATACTAACAGAACAGGTAAGGTTGTCAAAAGTTTCTGCTCTCTTGGTCCACTCTTGCAATTCAGGAGGTGTAGCAACACTGAAACAGAACTCCAATAATCAATCACACAATATAATCAATTTTCCTGCATTCCACATATTGTTCAAGATTAATGGTGTTTTGTTCTATAAGATTCAACCAGTTTAACTGGTAGCAACTCTGATATGCTTTGGAATTACATATAAAATCTGTCTAAATTAAACTCATATGGTTATGGACAAATCATTATCAATGACAAGAACCAATAAAAGTCGGCCCAAATCAAAATTTTAATTTGCCTTGGTCCTATTGAACTCTAGGAAGTTCAAAAAGGGTAAGAGAGTAATAAAAAATATATATAAGCCTAATGTACTGAAGATGTCAAGACAATAGCTCACCCAAGTAAATCCAACTGTTGTAGAATGGCATTATGAGCATTTTGATTCTGGAAAAATGTGAATGTCAGAAACTTAAGTATGAGCAGCTAGTAAAGCAGATCGGCCTCTAAAGAATCAGAAACTATTATCTTAAACCTACCCGAAGTAAAAGAGGAACGTGCCAAATGTTAGGAACATCATGGATATTAAGGATGTTGCCAGCCTGTGCGAGACCAAAGAAAGATAAGACAAAACCCCAACTGAGGGAACAAAATCCATTAAAAAGATCAGAAAGCAAACTTCACAGATAACAACATACTAGAACATGGCAAAACTGTGAGAGTTTCCGCTTTGTAGTTTCTAATAAAGGCTGCAATATAGAAGAGATTGTCAGCAAGATAGTTACAAATTAAAAGAATGATGAAAGTAAACGGACAAAACAGTCATCAACGAACTCTTAAGAGTAATTTCTGATCTAGTGAAACAAAAATACCACTAATATCTACCGTCTAGACCTTTGCAATTTTCGAACAACAAAAAACAAATATAAATTGAATTCATGCAAAGCATACAATCAAGATCAATGACCTAGTTCATCTTAAACCTTTTCCAACACAGTGACTTATGTGACACGGAGTTCATTACTGCGTAAGAGCTCAGTCCATTCCCAAACTATGATCAGATATGCTAGTCTAAATTAACTAAAGTGCAAGTACGATGAAGTGTAAAAGCAACCAGTGAGTCAACCAACAGGGATATTTAGGCCAATTCTAGTGCATTTATTCAACCTCTTACATACACATAGGTAACAAAAAGATGAAACGACATACCTGCGCAGAGCGACATGCTAAGAGGTGAGGAGTCAAGCCTAATGCCCTCAGTTCCCGCACACTATGTTGAGTAGGTTTGGTTTTCTGCACATCATCACATGAACAGGGAGATAGAAAGTGGGGAGGAAGAAACTAGATTCAGGGAATACGGACAACTTTGATCTTTACAAAAATTGAAAAAATAATAAAGCTTGCAAATAGGAAGTGCAGGATCAAATTAATCACAACAGGAATGGAGTATTACCTGCTCTCCCACTGCACTTAGTACAGGGATAAGGCTCACATGAATAAGGCAGAAGTTATTTTGTCCTGGGAAGAGGGTTGATATATTAACACGAGGAAATATTATTAAAAAAAAAAATTTAAATAAATAAAAATTAAAAAAGAAGAAGAAAAAGAAAAAGTAGAAATACATATAAAGAAACAGTTTGTCATTTTATATAGGATATCCATTAACTCTACTCATTATTTTACTGATTGACCTATGTATAGTAGTTCCATGCTCACAAAGCACTGCCATTAAATATTTGAAACACACTATAATTCAACTTTTCCTTCACCGCCCATTTCTAAGGTGCCATTTGGATGGTCCACAGTAATCTAAACAAACACCATATGAACACATGAAGAAGATTATCAAACAGACGAGGGAAAGAAGATCCTCTGAATAAAAAACTTAAGCAATTTTAATCATTGTTTATGAAAATATAGCGACCAGCCGACAAGTGTAACCTTACCAACTAAGAAGGATAATTGTCGCAACGCTTCAATGAATGGCATCGATTCAATATCACCTTAGAAAAAAAATAATAAATAAATAAATAAAAAATAATAAAATCAAGTTATCTATGGCAGATAGTGTATGTCTGACATAAAGATAGAGAGAGAATTTTCATGCATCAGATAGCTCTTTGTTCTTAAAAGCTCTTACCTACTGTCCCTCCCAATTCTATCACACAAACATCTGCAGGGCCCTCTTTCCCATCCACAGGAATGACAGAAACAGATTCAATCCAATTCCTAATCGCATCTGTGATGTGGGGAACAACCTAGAATCAACTCAAACATGCAGCACAGTTAGCAGCTCAGTTCGTGCATTATGAGATAAAGTTTACAAAATAATCATATAAAGTATCCTCACCTGAACAGTCTTTCCAAGATAATCACCTCTCCTCTCCTTGTCAATGACAGACTGATAGAGACAAGTATGAATAAATTATCTTGAAATAACTTCTAGAACTCAGAAAGTGAGAGAATGCATCAAAACCAAACAACTTTATGCACCTGATAAATCTTTCCTGTGGTAATGTTGTTGTCTCTAGTAAGTGTCACGTCCAAGAATCGCTCATAATTGCCAAGATCTAAATCAACCTTTTAAGAAGAAATCAAATGACAAGATATTTTTGAATCTCGAAAAAGAAAATGGAAGTAGTGTTCAATAAATATTTTCATTAGAATAGTTTGGATGCTGCAATGACATACTAACACAGAGTCACAAACCAAACCCCAAAAGAGGGAAAGAAAAGTAAAAAGGACTACCAGTTTGTCTTTGTACTTTACTATTTTTCATATTGATGTACCATGTGTGATAATTTTGTTGAGTCATGTTTACTATTAAAGCCCAAATGCAACCACTCCTAGAACAAAGTATGCAAAAATCAGCATCATTTAAGGTCACCGCTGCAGTTATTAACTTCAAAAGGCCGTATGGATGAATGAGATTAAGAAGAAATAGTAACAAGATTAACCAATTTCAACACTTACATACGATAGCAACCTCCTCAATCAATCACTTCTGCCACAACTTTCAGATAATATACGAACAGTTGTTAACTAAATTGATAAGATAGAACAACCAATAAAGGACAATCTTGTATTGGCTACAGGAACTTTAATTTATCAAGTGGTTGTGCTATAAGTGAAGAATTTGGTAAGATCTCAAATGCATATCCACCAGAAAAATGAAGATTATAAGATCTTATAGGATGAAGATTATCAAAATTAACCATCCCATTCTCATTTTAATTCTTAGGTGTATGGGTTTTCTTTTCTTTTACTTTTGAGCAAATGCAAATGGTAAGAGTAACAAGAGGGAACCTCTCCTCCGTCATCAAGAACAAAAACCTCCCCGTGCTCAAATGGTGACATGGTACCAGCATCTGTGTTCAGGTAAGGATCTGCATGTACAGAAAACAATTACTACACATGAATAAATGAGGCAAAAATGAAAATATACCCCCTTTTTTAGTAAGGAATATGTAAAAAGACCTTAACAATGAAATTGAAGATAAATAAAGAACACTACATAGAAAGAAAACAAAAAAACATGGTTAGACACGTATGTGTATATGACCACCAAAGGCTGTTGCCTAGGGGTATTTCCTCGCCTTCCAACAGAGAAGGCCGAGGGTCCCCGTAGAGCAGTGTGTTTATTACCAATGAAAATAAAATAAAATGTATGTGTATATAGAGAGAGACAGAGAGGGTGTCTAAATATAACAAAACAATGAAGAGGCAAAACCAACACTATTCCAAACTCAGAAAGTTGCACAATTCTACGTTTAGTAATAATGACTACACATCATAAAATCTCACAAGATCAAAAGAAAACTGATACTAAAATGAAACAAAAACCAAAATAAGGAACCAAAGATTCCGAAGAAAAACCCATATTGCGTCCCCTCCCTAAAATGAACATTAAACTCGATAAATAAATAAAAAACATGTAAACATAACAGAGTATATGCAAGATCACCGTTCATATCCATCAATGACAGCATTACGTTAAAGGTTAAAATATCTCAAATAAACAGAAAATGAAACGTATATACAGGGAAAAGATATTAAAATAAACATGTATACGAGTAAGGCAACGAACCTATTTTGATGGAAGTGACACGAAGGCCACAGGCTTTGAGGACGACGCCGATACTGCTGGCAGTGACTCCCTTGCCGAGTCCACTCACCACCCCTCCCGTAACCAACACGTACTTCATGCTTCTCTGTCTCTTCCTTTTCTCTCTAAAAACTGCGGCCTATGTGTTTGTGTTAATGTCCAAGCGGGAAAAAGAATGCCTTTAAAGAACTCAAAAGAAATCTAATTAAGAGCCTAATGGGTTAGAAATTTAAACTTGAGCACAGGCAAATGTGATAATAATATAATATATATATATATATATACACACACACTTGTTACTTTGTTTTTTACCATTGTATGCTACTTAGCATTAAACTTCTTAGAATTATAAATAAAATAAAATTCTAATTATTTCTGATGCCAAATTTATCTTTACACAAAATCAAGATTACACTTGATTTTAGGATTTAGTTTGCAAAACAAGAATTACAGACCTTGATTAGTTGATTTAGAAAAAAATTTAAAACAAAACCCATACATACAAGTTAGCAGTTGCAGAGAGAAAGAGAGGGGGGCAAGCTTGAGAGTTGAGAGACAGCGGCTGAAGCTTGCGAACGGAGAGTGGAAACTGAAAGATTTGGGTTTTGATTTTTTGAACAATCTGAAAGATATGGGCTTTGATAATAGGTAATAGGTTTTGAACTTTTGATTCTTGCAGACGCAGACAGATAGATAAACTGAAATAGATGGGTTTTGAACTTGTGATTCTTGTAGATTTTGCAGTTTGCAGTTGCAGAGAGAGGGGGGCAAGTTCAGTGAGAACGAGAATCGAGATGGAGGCGATTGGGGAGGCTGAAATGATTTGCCCTAAAAAAAAAAAAAAAATTCTGGCCTATAAATTACAGTTTTTTTTTTTTTTCCCGGAAATTTAAGCAACTGTCAAATGATAAGAGAGTGTACAATAGAGGGCCTTAGGCCATAACAAGAGAAAAGACAACAGGCCCAAAGGCAAGATAAACAAGGGACAAGCCCAACCCCAAATTCCAAATTGAAAGAACGAGGTACAAGATTGACAGCCAAAAGCACTGTAGTAACCGTTAATGGTTGTTTAAGAACAATCCGGTGATGAAGCCGCAGCTGCTGCACAATCTGTGCAGAGGAAACTAATCTGGTGGTCGCGGAGCCGGCCAGAGAGGAGGACAACAACAAGGTGGGGAGAGATTCCAGTCCATGAGGATCTTTGAGGATGCCGAGCAATTTCTGAGAACCCTCAGTTTGAGGATGGTTGTGATGGTGGAACAGATCTTGGAAAAGACGACTCGCTAAGATGTCTTCCCTCCTCTATAAATCCGAGCATTTCTCTCTTCCCAGGTATGATACACAACTGAGGAGAGAGCCAATTTTCGAAACATGTTTGAGGGGGTGTTTGATTTCCAATATAATAGGGTATAATAGTAAATTTCTTTAAATAATTTCCTTTTCTTTTTTTTTTTCCAAACATGACTTCTTTTTTTTTTCATTAATCAACCAAACACGATAAGAGGTTAAAATTATATTTCATTTCCCTTCCCTTCTCTTTTCCTCATAACTAATGTTATTATTCCTTTTCGTTCCCACCGTACCAAACATAGACTTAAAGAACTCAAAAGAACGTCCCCAACTCAAATTATCCAAGTCGTTGGTTAGGTCGGTTTCGAGTTTTCAACCCTAATTGCCTACACATCACTCACGGTGACCTAGTATTTTCAATCTCACCAGACTGTGTATTTTAAAATCTAATTAAGAGCCTAATGGATTACAAATTTAAAGTTGAGCACAGGCAAATGTGATAATAATATAATATATATATTTATATATAAACACATGTTACTTTGTTTTTACCATTGTATGCTACATAGTATTAAACTTGTTAGAATTATAAATAAAATAAAATAAAATTCTAATTAGATATATTCACAAGTCGAATGGGTATTGATGCAAACCATCTGAGTTTGAACCAATATGAATAATTCCATTGCTTTATCCTTTCCTTTAACTTTAAACAATAGCCTGTCATTAAACTTTATCCTTAATTCTAACAAGCATCATACACCTTCCCACATCAATGTTAGATATATTTTTGACATATTTTCAGTATATAAGATGCCTTACTTGTTTGATGTTGTCAATATTGTCAAGTATTTATTTAAAATTTTTTTTTTTTATTGGACGAGTTTCACCCACATCAACTCTATGTCAGGTGCAAAATTTAAAGGGAAATGATTTTTACACCTAATAGTTACAGTGCATTACTAGACCTATTATTTTAATTAGTCAATTATGCAACAAATAAAGAAGTGGAACCCCCCACTTAGTTGTTTTTAGTATAAATAATCAATTAAAAATTATTCAGTTACGTAATTCACTGCAAATGTTCAGTATGAATATATCACTACTCAAATTTATATAGTGAAAGACAAAACTATATATGATAGTGGATGTCACATATAACCTAAAAGTTCCACTTTAGTACTACAAGTTCAGCCTCCTATACATATATATATAGTCACCTCATTTCCGCATATTTTTGTCATCTGTAATCATCAAATTTTAGTAGCTGTATAAACAATGAATGTATAAAAAGTTGTAGTTTTCTGTTCTCTAGTAAATTGTTCTCTTCATTTTTTATTTTGTACTTATGAAAATTTCGTACTCTTTAATTGATAAATTTATTGTTATTAGTTAGCTGTCTTATGCACACTACACATGCGCACAATTATTTATTGATGATGATAAATTTATGGTTATTAATTAGTTGTCTTATGCAAACTGCACAGACGCACAATTATTTATTGGTGGTGATAAAAATTTATAGTTATTAGTTAGTTGTCTTAAGCACACTACACAGATACACAATTATTTATTGGTTGTGATAGGTTTATACTTATTAGGTAATTGTCTTATGCACACTATACAAGCGCACAATTATTTATTAGTAATGATAAATTTATAGTTACTAATTAGTTGTCTTATGCACAATGCACAGGCACACAATTATATTAGCTATAGAATTTGAAAACACCGTGTTAAAATTTCACACTCTTATCTATATATTTTTTAAAATTTCTTATAATTTTTTTTTTGCGCGTGTGAAACTTAGGGCTAGTTTGGTGTGCAAGAATGAAATAGAGTGGGAATGAAATGAAGCTGTGAATGAGAATGGAATGGGAACATGGAATGTTGTAGATATGGAATGATGATTCTCATTCGTGTGTTTGGTTGAACCAATTTAAAGCGGGAACGAAATTAATTTACATTAATTTTTCCAAATTACCAATAAAGAAATTTAACTTAAAATAAATAAATAAATTTAACAAAAAAATTAACGGTGGCTGGGTTGCGATGATGATGATGGCAGCAGAGCAACGGTTGTGATGATGATGATGGCGGGGGAGCAAGGGTTGTGATAATAGCCACCGGAAGGGTTGTGATGATGGCAGCAGAGCAAGGAGATGATGATGGCGGCAACTGGGTTGTGATGATGGCGACGGAGCAAGGATTGTGATGATGTCGGCGGTTGGGTTGTAGATGATGGCGACGACTGTTTATGTTCCACCGTTGAGAAAGGAGATTATGATAGGTTGGAAGATGTCGATGTTTACAAAAGAGATAATGAATATGATTTTTATTTTAGACATAATTTTTTTAATCCTATTCCATGTGGGAATGGAATTTCCATTCCATTAGTAAAAAGAATGAATGATTTTGGTGGAATGAATGGTGAAAAATGATGATTCCACCTTTAATAATCCACACCAAACACAAGAATGGAAAGAAAAGCATTACATTCCCTCTTATTTGATTCCATTCACCTACACTAAACATGGCCTTAAGGGCCTCACATTTGAAAATTCGTCTAGAGCTAGTTTGGTGTGGTGGAATGAATTGGAATAGAATGAGAATGGAGATGTGTAATACCCCGTAATTAATTAAAGAGTTTAGTTTATTTAAATTAAATTATGTGTGGATTCCTTTACCTATTATTGTGCATGCTACATTGTTATATTAAGTTCATTTAATGGTGCATGTAAATTAATTGTGTATGTTAAAATAGTAAATTTATTCATTTAATTGTGCATGTATTATTATAATTAATTTTATTTGTTGATTATGTTTAATTAAGCAATATTAGTTAATTAAAGTATTATATTTGTGTTATAAAGTATTATGATGATATAATGTATTCTTATGTAATAATAATAATAATAATTATAATAGTTTAATAATAATAATAATTATATAATAATAATAATTATAAAAGTTTATTAATAATAATAATAGTTATAATAATAATAATAGTATTAAACCAATGTCATGATGAAATTAGAGATTAGGATAGGATTTCATCAATGTTTATGGGTGGACTTGAAGCCATATGGTTGGGAAGGTGGTTAGTAAATGTAAAAATTAGATATTTGTAATATTTATATTATATAATTTGTATATAAATTAGCTAGCCTACCTTAGAAGGAAGGAAAGGGAGTTAGACACAAATTATAAATTTTAGTAAGCCATTGTAAAAGTGTGGAAAGGAAGAGAAAGAAAGAAAGGAGCTTGGACCGGTGTAGGAAAAATTTACCCGACTACGCGCAACCGGCGGATTTATTTTAAATCCAAAAAGGCAAGTTATTATCTATTTTTCCCCTTTGAATTAATAAATTAATTGTTTGGTTTATTTATATTATTTTAGCGCATAGAGACCATGTAAGGAGTTTAATAAATTAAGAATTTTAGTTTATTAAATTTGTGAAATTTTAATTATATAGGATGGTATATATTTATTTAATGTCCTATGAAATTAATAATGGCCGAAAATAATTAAATGAGGCTTTAGGGATTTTTCTAGAATTTTCTAGATTTTTCCGGGGCTTTTCTGCAATTTCCGGCGAGCCTCCGGCGAGGTTTCCAGCCACCGGCAGTGAAGAAGATGACCGGAGTGATCCGGTGTGATGCGGCGCATGGTAGGTTAGTGCGCGCGTGCATCCTGGCCATTGGTAGAGTCTGATTGATCCGGTGCATTGCAGTCCATGTTACTGCAGTACACCCGGATCAAGAACCTTTGGATTAGGTAGATTCATCCAGTGTAGCGCGCCCATAGCAAGACCATGCAACCAACGAATCAATAAGTGCCGCGTCATCAGGATGCATTAGTGCGCGCGTGGAACTCTCCAGACGCGAGTGGCAGCGCGTGCGCGCGCGTGGAACTCTCCAGACGCGCGTGGGAGCGCGCGTGCGCGCGTGGCTGATGCCAGACGCGCGTGGAGGCGCGTGGGAGAGTGGGGAAGGTTGGGCTGCGCGTGGGGAGGCTCTGGGAGGCGCGTGAGGGCGCGTGTGGGGTCTCTACAGCTACTGGAAAAGTCCAGAATACCCCTAGGGACTATTTTGTAAATTTCAGAACCTTAAACGTGGATTTTTAGGTACTGTGTTGGTATTTACGGGTTTAACGGGCCACGAAATTATTATTTTAATAACCGTTAATTATTCTTATGGCCAATTAATCTTTTCTAAGCATCTATTGGCTCGTTTACGGTACGGATATTAATACGATTTATTTAATGACATTGTTAAATATAAATAGTGTTAATATCTTACTAAATGGTATCAAACATTACTGTTAAATTAAATAATGCCGTGTTTTAGTCATATAAATTATCCAATATATATTATGAGATATTTATACTGTTAATCATATATCAACCATGATTATTATGCTGTGTGCATTTCAGGAAATAAATGGACTGTTTAAATTATGTCGCATTTATATTATATGGATGTGTTACCATATAGAACCATGTGAGCTGGCTAATAAGTTTAGACTCATTTATACCTTATGCATTCGTTGCT